CCAATGGTGACTACATCCACTGGCACTTTATCTACAACAAATGAAACAGCAACAGGTGATGATGGAGATGAAGTATTTGTGGAGGCAGAATCTGAAGGGTAAAAGTTTATTTTGTTGTTTTTGCTTGCTTTAGTCTTAGCAGACTTTTACATTTGTTTTCCTTTAGCCAAGAAACAATCAGCTAAGCCGTTTTCTTTTTCTTTTTTTTTTTGAGATGGAGTCTCGCTCTGTCACCCAGGCTGGAGTGCAGTGGCGTGATCTCGGCTCACTGCAGCCTCCACCTCCCAGGTTCAAGCAGTTCTCTGCCTCAGCCTCCCAAGTAGCTGGGATTACAGGCGCCTGACACCACACCTGGCTAATTTTTGTAGTCATTTTATACTGAAGTTTTCAAATGACTTAAACTGGAGCAGATTCATGTTATTCTTGTACTGTCTCCCTCATTTGTGTCTTGAATGGAAGAGAGAAAGATGGATGTAGCCACTGAGCTAGGAATTTTACATACCCATAGCCTATCTCATCTGGGCTAGAGCCCATGGTTTAGTTACTGGCATACTATTTAATAGTGTGACTATTGTGAACTTTTTAGTACTGTGCTTTCCTAAAATGTTGTTTTGAGATTTATCAAAATCTGGACCATATATTTCTTATGAGTGTCAAGAATGTGAACATCCTTGTCAAAAGGAAAAAGGAAACAGAAGAAGAGGAAAATCATAAACTAAAATTGGAACATGTCATAGTGAGAAAAGGAGTGAGGAAAAAACAACTTGAACTCTCTTCCCCCCGTTCCTTTGAAAAATATATATGGTTAGCAAATCAGTCTGTAATTTTTTGTTTAAGGGAGCTCTGGATTATTTAAGTGATAAAATTGATTTAAAAGAGTGGATATGGCCGGGCGCGGTGGCTCACGCCTGTAATCCCAGCACTTTGGGAGGCCGAGGCGGGCGGATCACAAGGTCAGGAGATCGAGACCACGGTGAAACCCCGTCTCTACTAAAAATACAAAAAAAAAATTAGCCGGGCGCGGTTGTGGGCGCCTGTAGTCCCAGCTACTCCGGAGGCTGAGGCAGGAGAATGGCGTGAACCCGGGAGGCGGAGCTTGCAGTGAGCCGAGATCGCGCCACTGCACTCCAGCCTGGGCGACAGAGCGAGACTCCGTCTCAAAAAAAAAAAAAAAAAAAAAAGAGTGGATATAATTTAGGATAGACTGTAGGATCAGTTTTGTATTTTTTAATTAATTTTTCTTTTCCTTAGTATTAGTTCAGAAGCAGGCCTAGAAATTGATAGCCAGCAGGAAGAAGAGCCTGTTCAAGCATCTGATGAGTCAGATCTCCCCTCCACCAGCCAGGATCCTCCTTCTAGCTCATCTGTAGGTGAGTCCCTGCCCTTGACCGCAATACAGCTTTTATACATCAAACTTGTTTGTGAAAACACTGCTTTATTAGTAACAAATTAATAATCATTTTTTCCTTTATTTTAAAATGCTTTATTTAAAAGAGAAATTTTATTATTAAAGGGAACTTGATTTATATTGAAATCATTATTCTAAGAATATTCTGGCATCGATAACAAGAAATATGGACATGGTGGATCTATCCCAAAAGAATAGCTCACTCATGTTTCATCTAGACTAATGATTGTCAACGTGTTTTGTAGAGCTCTTGGGTCTTTTAGAGGTGCTACAGGGGTTGTAGTGGATGGGTATACTGGGAGGGAGGCTAAGGAGTGCTAGGGTACTCCAGGCCTCTTGACTCTGAACCACAACAGCTCCATTTTTATTTGTTCTACATATTGGGGTTCTACATGAGATTTGATGTGGAGAGTTAAAGGGTAAGAGCTCTGTTGCTTAAAAAAAATTATTTGAAATTTACTGATGTAAACAGTTTCAGAGTTTGGCTTTTCAAATTTTTGAAGTTAATTTTGAAAAAAGGATATGTATTCCTGTAATAGAAGTTATTTTTTAGAATAACAGTTAGCATTTACTGAACACTTAACTGTGTATCATGCAGTATTCTGAGCCCTTTACTTATATTTACTTATTTGATTCTCACAACTCAACGTGGTAGATATTCATCCACATTTTATAGATGTGGAAGCTGAGGCACAGAAAGGGTGAATAACCTCTTCAAAGTCAAATAGCTAATAAGTAATGGACAAGCAACGATTACACTGAAGAAGTCTGGCTCCAGAGACTCCACTCTTAAACAATACAGTGTACTAGCTCATCTATCTCACATTTTTAGACAGAGAATTACCTTTATTATTAAGGATATACAGTACTTGGTCATTCAGTCTGATTATTTTAATTTTTAATTGCTTACAGTGGTAATTCTTAAACTCTGCCATGGAACCTTCAGATTTTAGGGCAGACCTGCTCAGTTATTTATTACTTTTTTAAATCACAGAACTTTGCTATCCCAAGATCTCTTCCCCTGCTTCTCAGCTGCTTTGATGTGACACATCAACCTATTGGCTAACATCCCTTATATCTACCGTTTCATATCTGGTAACTTTACATTTCTATACGTTATGCAATATGGATACTCATAACTAATCTTGCAATCAGGATTTAAAATAATGTATGTAAAATACAGAACCATTTCATACACAGTAAAGCTCAAAAAATTTATAACTATCATATTCATGATTACTGAGGTTTTGTGCCCCCAGTTATATTTTGATGTCCCATAAAAATTGGCTTTCCTCAACACAATTGGCACTTGTTATATCTTATCAGAGCTTGTATGAGAAAAAATGGTGGTTGTTCCCTTTAAAGTATAATATGAAATTACGATGTCTTTAAATTTATTTGATAATGTAAAACTGGACCTCCCCCATCTGAGTATTTGGTCAACAATACTCATGCTACATTGTCAACAAATATTTGACAATGCAGCAGGCAGTCTCATAGGAAGCATCATAGGAAGCATCACTAAGAGAAGGCGACATTTAAGTGAAGATCTGAAAGAAGAAAGGGATCAAAGCTGTGCAGTTACTTAATGAAGAGCATACTAGATCAAAGAAAATATTAATAGATGCCAAGTCCATAAGGCAGCAGTGTGTCTGCTTGTGTTCAGGGTCAACAAGGAGGCCACTGTGGCTGAAGCACAGTGAGTGAGAACAGAGACTAGCAGGAGATATGTTAGAGGCGGGAGAAGATAGAGTAGATCATTGTAATTGCCTTGGCTGTCATGGATACTGGAAGCTACTGGAGGGCTTCACACAGAATAATGACACGACATGATCTCATCAGTTTGGCTGCTGTGTACTGAAGAGATTGAAAATGAATAATGGACAGAAACAAGGAGAAACTTTGGAGGCTACTGCAGTAATTCAGGAAAAGATAGTGATGGCTTAGGTGAGATGGTAGAGTTAGGGTTGTGAGAAGTTGTCAGATTTGGGACATATATTTAAATTTGACCATTCAGGATTTGCTAATGATTGCATTTGGGGTGTCTGACAAAGAAGAATCAGATATAATTTGTGTTCTATTGTAGGCGGTTTGCTGAGGGACTTGATATTTTGTTTTCTGTTGTATTTCTTAGCACCTGGTACTATGTTTGATACATGGGTAGTCAACAAGTAAATATTTATTAATATAAGTGAATAAATGAAAAAAGTCAAGCACTTCTGGGTTTTTTTGTTGTTGTTGTTGTTTTTGAGACAGGGCCTCGGTCTGCCTGGTTTTTTGGGGGTTTTTTTGAGGCAGGATCTCACCTGTCTCCCAGGCTGGAGTACAGTTAGCTTGATCATGGCTCACTGCAGCCTCAGCCTCACCCGGGCTCAAGTGATCCTCTAGCCTCAGCCTCCTGAGTAACTGGGACTGTAGGCATGTTCCACCATGCCCAGCAAATTGTTTTATAATTTTGTAGAAACAGGGTCTCGCTGTGTTGCCCAGGCTGGTCTCAAACTCCTGAGCTCGTGATCCTCCCACCTTAGCCTCCCAAAGTACTGCTTTTTTTGTTGTTCAACCATTTACCCTTTTTTGGTTTGTTAAATGTTCCTCATTGTTTGAAAAAAAGAATTGAAAACAAATGGACAAGTCTGCATCTTATTCATTCTTTTAGTAATCAGTTTGTATCATTATAAATGCTTTCTCATTTTTTCACTTGCTTTTGTTTTATCTTAATGTTTTTTGTAGATACAAGTAGTAGTCAACCAAAGCCTTTCAGACGAGTAAGACTTCAGACAACATTGAGACAAGGTGTCCGTGGTCGTCAGTTTAACAGACAGAGAGGTGAATTTCTGACATAACTGGATTACATGATAGAACGTGGAATAGTAATAAATGGAACAAGTTTTCTAATCCTTAAGCCTCCAATTTATTTTTTTTAATGTTCCAAAGTTTTATTAAATAATTACATGTTGAACAGGTGATATTTACCAATCTGTAAACTTCATGTAGACAGATTTGTATACCTTAGGTATACAGTAAATATATGCTTATATTTTATATTTATTGATTTCTTCCTTAAATCCAAATTAAGATTTGGAAAATATGAAGTGTTATGGTGTTATATTCATTTGTTGTATCTCTACATCTCTACCTATTGCCATTATATTGTTATTTTTTTAATACAATGGATAAAGCTTTGTGATTATGTTTTAGCTAGCAAAAGTGTAAAATTTTAATATTTCCATGTTTTCCAATATAACTTTTAGATTGTACTTATGTCACAAAAATATTAATATGCTTGTAATAATTTCCATTGAAGTTGTAGAATACCCAACAGTTTTATATCCATAATGACTAGATATTTTTTATAATGAAGTAGAGTAAGTGAATACATGAGTTTTGAATTCTTAAAAGATATATTCAATTTGATTCTATTTTTTTTTTTCTTTTACAGGTGTGAGCCATGCAATGGGAGGGAGAGGAGGAATAAATAGAGGAAATATTAATTAATTGGTCTGTAAACAATAACAATTGTGAATAAGATTTTCAAATCTGTTTTAGTGTAATGATTGTCAAGTTTAAAAACATTTTTATATATAAACTGGTATACTCATGTCAATATTCTTTATTAATAAAATGTTTTTCAGTGTCAAAATGTATTATTCTTTTCTTCATTAGTTGACTCCTCCTTTGCTCATCAGTCTAAGGACAGTTGTACCAGACTTTGGATAAGGTCTGCCCAGAACGAGTAGTAATTGCTCTTGCTGTTCTACTAGGCACATCAATGTTATAGTATTGATCTAAATGGAAGAGAAAACATTTTTTTAGTTAAAAGAAAACAATGCCCAAACTAAAAAATAACTTATATTGACTATTATGCTCAAAGACAATGTTTATCATTTTAATAGAGATGTTTTTACTAATTAATTTGAACTTTATAACAGAAAGAAAAACAATTGCCTAGACTTTCCAACCTTTCAGCTTTTTTGATGTTTCAGAAGATTGACATTTCACCATCTTTTTGTAAAATCAGATTCAACTCTCGTTTATGAAATAAGCATTAAAGAGTAACCAAGTTTGAAAAATAATTTACTTGGGTTTATTCTTTTTAAAAAATACATGCCAGTGTCATTCATATTATGGAATTACAGGCAAAATAACTTAGATTTCTGGGCATTTCAAAGAAAAGCATCCTGAGTAACACAATTTAATTGATAAAGTTAGTTTCTCAGGCACTTCTTTTCTGATCTTACAGACTGCAATGATGCAAATCAGTATAACCTTGTGCCAAACAAGCTATCTGTTAAATGCCACAAATGACAGAAGTAAAATATTATCGTCAGTAGCAATTTTACTCTAGTAATTGGATGTTTTATCGTAATCTCATAAAGGTTAGAGCAGAATTGAATTGCAGTGCCATTCATTTTAATTGAAATTAAAGCAAAAGTCTTAACTCGTTTCCACAGCAATTAGAATTAAGTATCGTAGTGTAACTTCTCACATTCAGTCATCATTGCAGCCAGCATTTTTACTTTATCTTCATTATTTTCACAAATGATATCACCTCCTTGGGAAACTATTAATAATAACTTACCTTTAGAAAAGGCATAGTAATCATAGCCATCAGGTTTTCTAATGTTGGGCAGTGATATAGCTGAGGTAACCACATTTGGAAGTCCTCTCCACAGTGTACTCACTTTAACTTCATTATGAAGGAAACCTGTAGATGACATGTTTAATAATAAAGATACCAGATTAAAAGGCAATGTACTATCTTGGGAAGGGCCAGACAGATCTGAGTTTTAATCTCAGTTTTTGCCCTCTGATGTAGAACTATTGAAGGTTATAGATTGGTATATAAAAATAGTTCTTGGTAAGACGTACTTGATAAATAGTATTGGTTATAACTGACAAACCTGAACAAACTGCTTTCCTTACCCACAAGGAAAAAGAAAGTATTGGTCTTTGGTTATTCACTAAGGCAAGTGGATGAGTTTTTCATCAGTAAGCTTAAATTATTAGGGCTGTTTGATCAGTATCTATATTTCATAAGCCTTACTGTATAAGAAACTGTATCACATCTACTTATGTTTAAGGATTTTTTTAACAGAATAAAAATGTTACCTTTGTCTTGATAAGCCAGTCTGACGGGTGAATAGTGAATTCTGATGGTGTGTGTTAGAGAAGGTCCTATAGCACGTTCAAAGCGACGTCTCCTAACCTGTGTCGTTTCTCCATACACTGGATAATTTAGAGCAGGCCTTCTTCCAGGGCACTTCTGTACAGGTTCCTGTTTATAAATATACTGCTGAATACTGCCACCTGTTATGTGTTAGAATATCACATGGAAAATGAAAATTTTAATCCCCTCAGAAAAGATGGAAAGCAACTTTTACAATGTATAGGAAAAAATTTTGTTTCGTTTTTCATATAATATGTCGATATTAATGGCTGTTAGCCAAGGGTATTGTAAAAATAATTATTAAACCCTGAAATACTTGTTGAATGAATAGATGCAGCCAATTACATGGTTATATATTTAATTTCAATTGAAAGTGACAGGTGCTCACGTTGGCAGCACATATGCTAAAATTGGAATGATACAGAGATTAGCATGGCCCCTGTGCAAGGATGACATGCACATTTGTGAAGCGAAAGTAAAACATTCTATCAGTGACCTGAAAACTCAAATGAATTGTGATTTGCCTGTGAAGAAATCTAAGTAAAAATTGAGGACAATAAGAATGCTACCCTCAATTTTGATTTTTGTCACTGAAAATATTTGATTCCAGCCATTAAAGATATCTTTTAACAGTAAACTCAATAATAAAATGCTGAGTGTAATTCTTTAAAAGTTTTGTAATCTTGTCAGTTATGTAGCACATACCTCTCTTGAAAAAATACACAGATTCAGGCCGGTTCTTGTATTTAGCTATTGAAAGCGCTGCCACTATTTGTCCAGTTAGTCCTCCAAATCCTTTGACAATTGGTTTGGGATACCCTGCATCTTTTATATCATTGGTAAAACGCCAGTACTGAGAATCCTAATAATTTAAAAGAGAAAATTATGTTACCAGCTTTGGGAAAAAAGATTAGGAACTCATTTCTAGATTTAAGTATAGAGAGAACATGTTAACTTAGTTGAATGGTTGAATTTTGACCATTAATGTTATCAAACTTGCTTATGATTAAATTTTGATGATAGTTTAAAGTGCGGACACTTATATTGGAGGTTAAGGTGATATATGTTGTAATAAACAATGCGTTTACAAATTATAATTAAATTTCTCTCACAAAGATAATTGTGTTACCTTAAAGAAGAAAGTTTTTCCTTCACAGTTGCACCTAGTAAAAACAGTATCAATGGGGGAAGGAATACCCCAGACTTCAGTAATTCTGCGAGCTGGAGATGGTGGACTGAATGGACTTAGCATCCAGAAATAATGACCTAAAATTTAAGGAAAAACATCAGCCTACAAGCTGAATGCTAAACCTATCACAAAAGAAACCAAAATGGAAAAAAAAAAAAAAAAAATGTAGTTTTCTTATGCATTGTATGACTGGAAGTTTAGTCAGATCCAAAAGGTAGTGTTTGAACATTTCTGAGAGCAGGTATTTCCCAAGTCCGAAATTTAGCATAACCTTTGAGATATTTTAGTTTTCTAGTTTCTTTAGAACGAGCTATTGGTTGGGCCAGGTGCAGTGGCTCACACCTGTAATCCAGCACTTTGGGAGGTCCGGGTGGGTAAATGGCTGGGCCCAGGAGTTTGAGACCAGTGTGGGCACCATGACAAAACCCTGTCTTCACCAAAAAAAAATACAAGAATTAGCCAGGTATGGTGGCGCACACCTGTAGTCCCAGCTACTCAGGTGGCTGAGACGGGAGGATCGCTTGGGACCAGGAGATTGAGCCGTGATTGTGCCACTCTACTCCAGCCTGGGTGACAGAGGGAGACCCTGTCTCAAGAAAGCCTTTCGGCTTTGTGACTTACTATCTCTTTAGTTCTCAATTTCTTTATCTCTTAGAACTAAAGAATTATAATTTAATGGCTAACATCTCTTTAGCCTCTACTATACAAAAAGGAATTATTTTCACATTTAATCTAAATATGTGTTAAGACTGACTAGCAGAGAGTACAGCAGAGAATTAACATGAAATAACTTTTCTTCTGTTACCCTCCGACAGAGTGTAACACTTAAACACATCACAATTGAGATGTTATTTTCAAATAAAGCAGCGAATATGCATGCTGATGTCATTTCATTTGGTATGAAATTAAAATTTTAACAACCGCCCCCAAAAAAAAAAAAAATTGAACTACCTTTTAAATCTTAACAGTAGGAAAAAAACCTCAGTAGTATCAGTTCAGGGTCTTGATTTTGTTTTGTTACTTTGTCTAATTTTCTTAATCCAATATTTCCATTATTACTCTCAGATTCTCCTGTGAGGTATGTTTATCAGTCAGATTCCCCTCCAGAAAACAACCCAAACTAGCACTCTTCCATGACTTTGGTTCTCATAAATGCCGAAACAGAATGATGAGAAGAAAAATAAACGTGTACATAGCTCACCTCGGAATGCAACTAATGTCCCATTGCGCAAAGTAGTCAGTCCATCTACTGGCCTACCATTGCATATATCGGTCTCATCTAAACAAATTAACAAAAACAAATATAGAACAAAATGAGAAAAGTATGTATGTTTTTTCAAGTCTTTCCACAGGGTTCTATTTCCTGTTTACCTTTTCTAAGATCTTGAAGAACAGAATTTGACGCGTTTGCATAGTTATATACTTGATAATTCCATTTTACTTAAAGATGCTACTCTTCAAAAGTATTACATGAAATAAATTATGATGAATTGGAATGGGCCAGGTTACCTAGATTTTCATGTAAACTAGACATTTATTGGATGTATGAACTCAATGTGAAATTGCATCTTTCAGTTCTGATTGCCCTCCCTTTGGGTTAGTTTGGAAAATGATACTACACATTTTTGCTTTGCATTGTACTTTTAAGAATAGACTCCCAACTAAATTTTTTTTGACATTCGATGTACCATCTCTGCTGCTCATTGACACACACATGCTAAATTCCCAACCCTAAATTATTAATTTCCTAAAGAATGAATAAACTTACTATACGCCTCTGCTTACCTACACGGAAGCTGTAAAACTTCACAAGTTAATCAGGTCAGGTAATACATCTCAGTCGAGTGATACTAAACTAAGGCATTCTGGTTCATATAGATGTAAACTAACATTACCAGCTTTAAAAATGAAAATAACTGATTCTAAATACCGGAAAGCATGGGATTGATGATAATGCCTTGATTGGGTACTCTCAGTGAGTAATCCATGCCGGGAATAACTATAGGCGTGAACACATGGGGCCTGGGAAGCATGTGAGGTGTTTCTCCTTCAGCACCACCTGCATCTTCATTCTTTGGATTTACTTCAAATAGTTTGGAGTTTGGAGTTTGGCTAGGTCTGGTGGTGGTTTGGAGCATGGCTTCTGCTACTCTTGAGGTAGGGTTCAATTCTGGCATTGTTGATGTCACCTTGGGGGGAGTTGGTGTCGTCTTTGGTTTTCTCACTCTAGGTGTTGTTTTTGGCTTTTTGGTAGAAGTGGGCTTTTTGGTAGAAGTGGGCTTTTTGGGTGCCTTGGTTGGCTTTTGAGGTTTAGCAGTTGTCGCTTTAGAATTAGTAGCTCTATCTTTTGGTTTAGCTGTTTCTTCAGGTTTGTTCATGATCTCAGTTGTAGTAATTGTCTTTTTTGTTGTAGTAGTTACTTTGGGTGCAAGAGTAGTTGTTTTAAAAGTAGTAATTTTGAATGGTGTGGTATCTTGAGTAGTGGTAGATGTTACTTCTGTGGCTGTAGTTGTTATTTTGGATTCGGTAGTTTTTTCTGTTGTAGTTGCTGTCTCTTTTGTCATCTTAGGTGCAACAGTTGTAGTTTCAGGTGTAGTACGTATGTCTCTTTCTGTTATCTTGTCTTTAGCTATTGTAGTCATTTCAGATTTAGTCACTGCAGGAGTCTTAGTTGTAGGTACACTGGGTTTCTTGGAACTGTTTTCAAGAACCTTTGGTGTGGGTTCTGCAGAAAGCTCAGGAGTTGATTCATCAGGGCTTTTGTGGCTAGTGGGAGGCTCCATGGTGGTAGTTGGAGTAGAGGCCTCTGAAGTGGTTGCAGGAGGTGTCTCAGGAGTAGTTGGAGCAGGCTTCTTGGGGGTAGTGGGTGCAGGCTCCTTAGGGGTAGTTGGAGCGGGCTTGTCAGAGGTGGTGGGTGTGGGCTCCTTGGTGGTGGTGGGTGCAAGCTCCTTGGGGGCAGGCTGCTTGGGAGTAGTGAGTGCAGGTTCATTGAGGGTAGTTGGAGCAGTCCCCTTAGGGGTAGTTGGAGCAGTCTCCTTGAGGGTCTTTGGAGCAGTCCCCTTAGGGGTAGTTGGAGCAGTCCCCTTAGGGGTAGTCGGAGCAGTCTCCTTAGGGGTAGTTGGAGCAGTCTCCTTGAGGGTCGTTGGAGCAGTCCCCTTAGGGGTAGTTGGAGCAGGCTCTTTAGGGGTGGTTGGAGCAGTTTTTGGAGCAGGCTCCTTAGGGGTGGTGGGAGCTGGTGCCTTGGGAGTGGTGGGAGCAGGTTCCTCAGGGGTGGTGGGTGTGGGCTCCTCAGGGGTGGTGGGTGTGGGCTCCTCAGGGGTGGTGGGTGTGAGCTCCTCAGGGGTGGTGGGTGTGAGCTCCTTGGGAGTGGTGGGTGCAGGCTTCTTGGTGGTGGTGGGTGTGAGCTCCTTGGGAGTGGTGGGTGCAGGCTCCTTGGTGGTGGTGGGTGTGAGCTCCTTGGGAGTAGTGGGTGCAGGCTTTTTAGTGGTGGTGGGTGCAGGCTCCTTGGGGGTGGTTGGGCCAGGCTCCTTGGGAGTAGTGGGTGCAGGCTTCTTGGTGGTGGTGGGTGCAGGCTCCTTGGGGGGGGTGGGGGCAGGCTCCTTGGGAGTGGTGGGTGCAGGCTCCTTGGGGGGGGTGGGGGCAGGCTCCTTGGGAGTGGTGGGTGCAGGCTCCTTGGGGGGGGTGGGGGCAGGCTCCTTGGGGGTGGTGGGTGCAGGCTCCTTGGGGGGAGTGGGGGTAGGCTCCTTGGGAGTGGTGGGTGTGGGCTCCTTGGGAGTGGTGGGTGAAGGCTCCTTGGGGGTGGTGGGTGCAGGCTCCTTGGTGGTGGTGGGTGCAGGCTCCTTGGGAGTGGTGGTTGCAGGCTCCTTGGGAGTGGTGGGTGCAGGCTCCTTGGGGATGGTGGGTGCTGGCTCCTTAGTGGTGGTGGGTAAAGGCTCCTTGGGAGTGGTGGGTGCAGGCTTCTTGGTAGTGGTGGGTGAAGGCTCCTTGGGTGCAATTGGTGCAGGCTTCTTGGGAGTGGTGGGTGCAGGCTCCTTGGGGGTAGTTGGGGCAGGCTCCTTGGGAGTAGTGGGTGCAGACTTGGTGGTGGTGGGTGCAGGCTCTTTGGGAGTGGTAGATGCAGGCTCCTTGGGAGTGGTGGGTGTAGGCTCCTTGGGGGTGGTAAGAGCAGGGCCTTTGGTTGTAGTTTCAGCTTTGGGTGTAGGTTTAGCCGGCACTTTAGATGTAGGTGCTAAATCTTTAGCTGATGTTTTCTCTACACTTTGTGTCTCTTTAGCTGAAGTAGTCTCTTTTCCATCAGTTGAAGTCTGTTTATTTGTTGTAGTAGGTTCTTTAGTTTCAACTGTTGTCTCTTTATTCGTTGTCAAAGATGTCTGTTTAGATGTATCAGAATTAGGTGGAAGACTGGGTCTGGGATTTTTTGGTTTTGCTGTTGTGATTTTGGGAGATGTGGTGACTTTATTGTGTTGGGTGGTAGACGTGGCAGGAGTTGTGGTGACCTTGAAGTCACCATTGTCCAATCCACTTCCAGCTTCATCTACAACTGGTGGTTTGGGAGTAGGTTTCTTTTTAGTTCTGTTCTTCTTGTTATCTTTTCCTGGAGAAAAAACACATCTTGTTATTTTAGAATTTTTTTTCTTTAATAGTGAGATAAAGATCCCATTTTTATCATTGACTAGTTGTGTGTTTCTAAGCAAATTGCTAACCTCTACTATGTCCTTTAATTTGTTGTAAAATGGTAAATACTCAACCTATCTTATTGAGTTGTTTTAGGGAATGAATGAGATGAGAGATGAGAAAGCACAAATTAAACTCTATACAATTAATACATGTAAGTCAGTGGCAACTTTGAAATTAGCAACACAACAAATAACACTAATTCATCTGTTTATATTAATGTTCTTTACCCCCCACTTTTCTAGTCTTATTCTTCAGTGCCCAGTGTCCCTTCCTTCCTCCTGGAAACCTAGTACTACCATCTTGCTGCAACAATTATCTCAGAGGCCTCTACAGCTACCTCTGAGCAATCTGCCCCAGTCACCCGCACAGTCCCTGCTTGAGGCTTGTTCCCATACATAGGGCTATTAGCCACTCCTTTTCTTCTGCGCAGCTAAACTTGCAAGTCCCAGGGGACATAAGTAGGAGATTAGGGTGCCATGGCAGCAAAAAGATAGTATTTATCAAGGCTTTCCCATAGCAGCTACCCCACAGGTGAACTACAAAGCCCAAGGGTGGCTTTGTGCATGATTTTCTGGGTGACTAAAAGATTAAATATCTGGCTATTTATCTAGAGAGAATGCTTCGGAGGAAATCACAACCACTTAGAGTTCTTTAAAACTCCCTTATCCAAAAATTCAGTATTTCCTGGAGAAAGAGAATATATTTTAGAACCAGAACTTCAGGAAATAATAAACAGCAAAGGAAATCTCTTTTCAGGCAATAATAGCCTACTCTGTAGCACAGTCTCTACTAGAGAAAAATCAGCCAGATATATAAGTTACTAGGAAAATAAAGAGGATTTGTAAAATATGGATAACATTTTTTCCATAGAGGTTTGTAAGAATTTAATGAATTAATACTTGTAAAACACTTAGAACAATAGTATATAAATGTTTGTTAAAATAAAGCTGGGGAAGGGAAAATGAAGATGCAAGGAAGATGAAGGGGAAGAAGCAAAATGATATCAAGTAAATAAGAGTGACAATAGAACGCCATAAATAATCATCTCTGGTGCCATCCTGTGGTTCCACAGTCACTGCTACAGCATCTTCTTATCCTTTGCTTTTAGAGTGGCTTCTGAGCTGCTTGGCACTAATTTCCTGTAGTAAGTATTCATTTGGTACTTTCTAAGATAATAGTTTTAAAGTTATATTCCCCCACCCCATATTGAGATGTCTTCATTCTATCAACAAGCACTACTCTTAAATATAATCATTGTTAATATGGCATTGATATAGTCTTTGATCTTTATCAATGCTCAAACCTTTGAGTTTCTTCTGTAATTCTCTATTAGCAGCTGAATTTTTGGAAGACTTGATTTTCCGAATTGTTGAAGAAGAAGAGGAAGAGGAGGAGGAGGAGGAGGACTCTTGATTTTCAGAAACAGAATGTTCTATAAATCAAATAGAAAGTTTGATCACACCAACTTGATTTAAAACAAAAAAGAACTGACAGTCTAAATACAGCAAGAATTGCTATTTACTAATCTACAAGTATCTGGATTTTGCTTTTATTAGTAATATGACCAACTGCCTTTCAACTGTCAGTTAAAAGCAAGGCACCTGGGCTTATCACAGATACTAGCAGTATTACTAGTATCTCTCAACTTTCCCATATCCTCCAAAACACAGAATCAAATTATTCTGCAAAGAAACTCATGGGATGGTTTTTGTTTTTTACAGTAAGATGTGTCCCTTCTGATTTGTTTTAACCCAGACTCATGCTGGGTTTGGTAAATACAGAAAGACCTGAGAGTTTATACTTTGTCTTAAACTTTACTTAAAAGCAAAGTCTAAAACCTTCAAGTGTAATGAGCCTCATGATTCCTAAGATTACCCTGTTCTCTGAGAATGGGCTTAGATAAGCAGTCACCTACAAGTTATTTCATCTAAGAAAGCTCCTTTGATTATATCTGTCATCTTCCTACCTTCTGTTATTTCCTCTGATTCTACAACTTTCTTAGTCTTCTTCTTGTTTGGTGGTTTGGGTGAACGTTTGGTTGTTGATTTGATGGTTTGAGATGCTCCTGAAGGTGGAGGTGCTTTCTTTGCAGATGGTGGTGATGTGGGATTATGCACTGAGGCCAAGCAAGACAAGTCAGTTAACATCTTGTTTTCATCAGCAGCTCTAACTGTGAAAAGCACAGATGCATCTAGCTTCAAGAGTAGATGCTGGTGACAGCCAGTGCAGGCAGGCTCCAGCCCAACACGAATGACTCCATTTTATTCTAAGGATGCATTGCTATAAAATATTAGTTCTCAGATTGTTGTAAGTTATGACAGGGAGCAAAGTCTCAGGAATCAGAAGACCTGAATTCCAGTCCTAGACCTACGAGCCTCTACCATTGTGACCTTAGGCAAATAATTCTCTTAACTTCATCTTCCTGTCTACAAACTAAGATGTTTATTTAAGATGATTTCTAAAAGTCTTTGCCTTCAGAATTTTTTTTCTGTTTTAGTATTTGTTTTTTGTTTTAATATTCATTTAAATTAAATGATACCAATTTGTCCTTTGTTTTTTTAATTACAAAAGTTCCACATGAATATTCTTGTGAAAAGTTCACACCTTCACATTATGCTTTTCCTCAAATGTGCTTCCCTTCCCAAAGATACAACTGTTAATGGTTTGGAGTGTATCTTTTTAACCTTTTAGTCCCCTTCCCTCTTCTGCTTCTCAGTCTAGAAGAGAAAACACGGAACTTTAAAAATTTTTTTTTAATCATTAGGAACAAGAGGGACTAATGAAGGATACGAAAACAGAGAGTATTGGGGACTCTCTGGGTACAGAAGAGTTGTGATAAATTGTGCTGCTCCCAGCAACATCGCCCCAGAACCCTATTGCTATAGTCTCCATGAACTGGCCACTGCCCCTCTCATTTCTCTTGCCACCCAACAAAAATGTCAAGTATCTCAATTTGAGAAACAGATCTGCCATGTACTAGCTCGTGCTCTTGGCCAGAACGGTTAACCTCTTGAACTCTGTTTTCTCTCTCCCATTCAGAGACACTTGGATGGCTGGGATTCCTTCAATTCTTGAAATGTTATGATTTTTAGATGTATAGACACCTGTAAGTGGTATCTATACTGAAACAACTAGGTGGTGAATCTCAAGATAGTTGGGTTATTATACTTAAACAATAAAGTATTGAGATTCTGAGTGGTTTTATTATTTTAAGTTGGGACCCTGACTATCTTATGAATTCTGTAAAGAAAGTTGGCCAGCATTTCCTTCATCTTTTTTTTCACTGAGTTCTACCTAAACTTTAAGTAAGCTGACCAAACATTTCTTAGCATAAAGTATTATCTTTATCAAAATGTTCTCTCAATGTTTCATCACTTTCTAATCATCTTCCTTCCCTACACATCCTCTGCCCAAAACAAATTCTTAGCTTTCTTGTCTCACAGCCAAAACAATTAGGGTAATGAGTAAATATGTGTCACTCATCATGGGACCTGCTAAAAGCTGCAGGAAGGGTGAGCTCTGAGTTTTTTATTACAAGGGTGTTGTCTTCATTATTTTTGGAATGTTTTCCCATGAAAACATTGAACGGCTAAGAAACATCTCTCAACTCTGCTGATTAACAGTTTTCCACTCTGTTTCTTCACTGTTCTAAACAAGCAGGAGGTGAAGGCTTGTTTAAATAAAAATGATAAGATTGATTATGCAAGCAAAGCTTGTCTTCACCTCCACAAATATTCTTGTTTTAACAAAGTAGAATTTAAGAACAACCATTTGGTAAAGGAAAGTAATTCAGTATTTAAGTATGTTTTAAAAATCTTTTTCTATAAAATCTGGAGCCTTTTGTTATATTCTAGAGTAGTCCTTCAAGACCTATAAATAGAGAAGATGATTTTAAGATGGGAATATCGCTTGTTATTGACTTTACCATGCACATGTATTGGAATAGAGACTGTTGAAGAGACTGCAGAAATGGGAAGGAACATGACAGTTAACAACGTGTTACGTAGATTTGCCTGTAAATTTAATGGCTTAAACTAATTCATAAATTTACTTGCTTAGGGAAGCTGAAAGTGTTGCTTGTGTCCTTAAATATATACTCAAACACTGAGGCCATAAGCACAGATAGCTCAAAGGATAGTTGACTTTGTGAAGTCAGCAAGGGTGAGACAAGAAATCATCAAGTGAGTTGATTACTGTTGATTTAACCTGAAATTGAACCATATCTGAAGAAAAAAAAGACATGTGCATTCAGCCTCATCCTCTGTCTTTCCCCTCTGGCAACATCTTGTGCTCCTGGAGCCCGGCTGAGCCTGGGGGTGCTGCTGTTGCAAGACGCTTTTCTTCTTTAATTAATCTCCACAACACAAAATTGTTATGAAATAGCTTATATGTTAGTAGAATCAAGGCATGAGATGGACTGCATGTTAGACATTAGCAGTGATGCTAAGGTCGGTGCATAGATCTGCCTGTACTGAGAAGCATTGGTTGGTACTGTGATGCTTACCTTCTGCACAGAAACTCTCATAATCAGGACAGCACTTGTCATACTTCTTACACTGGGCGTCGCAGTCACACTCCCTCCCTCTCTCGAAGGACTCAAAGCAGCGGCCTTTACAGGAAAGCTCTACCCAGAGCAAAACAAGAAGTTACAGATTATTAATTGCGAAGCCAGGCCCGTGTATTTGACAGCCATTTCCCACCTTAGACTCGACTAGGTTTCCAAAAGTTCATTTCTAAGTCTTTTATTTAAAATTTGAAGTACATCATCCAGGAAAAATGAGATAGTATCCCAGATGGAGACAGCCCAAGTCAAAAAAGAAATATGGTGACTGAGGGCCACTCTTCTTGCCGTTCAAGACGTCCTGATGCTGCCTAAGTTATTCACATTTATGAACAATGAAAAATCGGGAAATGTCTAAATAGTGAGGTACACTTAATATGAAATCTCTTCATCCTTCTCCTCTTCACACACTGCTTTGTAATAGATTCACAGTAATTGAATGTACAGATCTCAGCAATATATTCCATATAAATATATATCTGTATATATATATATATATTCCTATAAATGGGCCACTTTCGAGGCTTAAAAATCATTTGTAATGCAGAGACCCTTATTATGACAAACTGAGAAATGTGTATAGTTGAAAGCTTTCAGCCTAATCTTTAGTGTGGACTATGTTAGGGAGGATTACTCATTTAAAACAGGAAAATTTAAAAAGCCTTGGTTAGAGGTACCAGGACTTACCAAGGCCTATTTGAAATAATTACCCACCCAATACATAAATTGTACAATGTATTCCTCACCTTCACATTCAAATTCTAAAGCAAATATACCTTTCAAATAATTTTAATTATAATTTTCTTAAATTGAATAGGAAATGTTTCTGTGTTAATAACAAAATGGTCCAAAATATATTCAAGTGAAACACTACTCACAATTTAAAATTCAGACCTTCGAGTTTAACTGAAATTCATCATTAAACACTAGCACGTTATCTTTAAAGTGCATTTTCCAGGTAATTTAGAAATGTATTAACATCAAAAAGTTAAATAATAGACAAAATTATTCCACGCTCATGTATTCTTTGGACGAAACTATTGAAAGACCTCATCACTAGTCGAGGACATCTCTGATTGTAAATAATTACTCTTTACTCTATACTTAATGACTGCTGACTCACCGTATCTTCTCTATTTAAAATAAGACATTTTACTTGGAACTAGTCAATAACCTTGTGCAAGTGACAGATTTCCAGGCTCCCCTTACCATCCCCAGTAATCACAAGCTTTGACACCATCCTTAGGTACAACGCGCTGCAACATTTATGCAAGTGAAGGAAAAGGCACTTAAGCAAAGGAAGTGATACAGTGGGAAAACATCACTGCAAGTGGGTGCAAGGGGAGGCTCAGTCTCACAGACAGCACTGCACGAGGGTGCATGGGGGCACTCACAGACTCACAGAGCTGCTTAACAGAGGAGACACTCGCTCTCAGGACTTACCCACAGTGCAGACTCTCTTGAAATCAGGGCAGCACTCCATGTAGTGTTGACAGTTATAATCACAGTTGCAGGTGGCATCTCTAGAATACCCTTCCCCACATCTCCCTGCACAGCTTGATAAATCTAAAATTATACAATACTGGCGTAAATATGGCCAAACCACTTTATAGAAAGGGAGCAATCTAATGAGGGGGACGAAGCTGCTTGGTGAGAGAGAATTTTATTGACCGAGAAGGTGTTGGAATGATGTTAGCAATAGGCCCAGCTGATATTTGGCTGATGTCTTAGGTGATCTCAGTTATGTCACTTTATTCTTCACTAGATTGAGATAAAAAATACACTTTTGAAAAGCAGGTAAAGTAATGGCTCTGCCTGAAGAGGGTGATATTCCTAAGGGAGAGGTGGCAGCTACAGCTACTACCAACGCTGTGGCTATGATGATTAGCAGTTGACATTTATTGAGCTTCTCTATGCCAGGTACTGAGTCATACATTATCTCTAATGCTTATGAAAATGTTTCCAGGATTTAATAGCCCTTTTTTAGAGATAAGAAAGCTGAAACACAGAAATTTTGACAACTTGCTCATTATCACACGGCTAGTTAATAGTTCCAGTGTATCTGCATCGTAGGCTAATTAATACCTTCCAATTATTTGTAGTGAACTCATTTACTCTTATAATTGTCCTAATTTAGATAATACATTTTATGATCACCTTAAGTAAACAATCCATCCAGAATTTGAACTCTGATATCTCTTATTTCAAGCCTGAGATTTTTCCACCCATCGCATCGCCTCCCATTCCTGATGATAAGCTTAAAGCAAGCCAGTTGCACCAGCACAAACTTTACTGAGCTTTTTCTTTCTTAATTGGTGGGGATAACTGGATTTTTAAAATGTCAGGGAAGCCAGATGCTTACAACCACTGCTAAAGTGAGAACACTTAAAATAAACTATAAAGGTCATGAACAGAGATTCTCCAGGCAACAAATAAGCAAACAATAATAAAAGCATACTCATTCTCAAATATTTTTAAAAAGTCATTTGGAAAACACCACCTTAAAACCCTCCCTGAGAAATGGCTGCAGGAATGTGACAATGGAATCCATCTCTGGAACAGAAATTGGCAGGTGCAATGTCCTAAATCCACAGAGGAATGTTGAAACACACTGAAAACAAATCTTAATAGAGTCCAGGAATGCCAAGGTCTGAATATGCAAATAAAACAGTAAATTATAGGACAACTTTCAGAACATTTTGCATACGTGAATGCATAACACATACAAAAATGTATATATAGTGTATGTATATAAATACATATATTATATATAAAGAAAAAAGAGAATGAGATGAGGTTGAGAAAGCAAGAGAAGCAGACAAGACAGTATCAAGAGATTTTTTTTTATGGTTGGCAGATTTCTGAAATAAGAAATCAACTGTAATCCTGGCACTTTGGGAGGCAGAGGCGGGCGGATCACCTGAGGTCAGGTGAGACCAGCCTGGCCAACATGGTGAAAACCCATCTTTACTAAAAATACAAAAATTAGCCAGGCATGGTGGCAGGGGCCTGTAATCCCAGCTACTCAGGAGGTTGAGATAGGAGAATCGCTTGAACCTGGTAGGTGGAGGTTGCAGTCAGCCAAGATCATGCCACTGCACTCTAGCCTGGGACAAAGCAAGATCTTGTTTCAAAAAAAAAAGGAAATCATCCTTACAGGAAAGGTTTGTTTTCATAGACTAGGTGTCTGTCCTACTTTTATTGCTATTAATTATAACCATTACTTTTATTTATTTATTTATTTTTGAGACAGAGTCTCACTCTGTTGCCCAGGCTGGAGTGCAGTGGAGCAAGCTCGGCTCACTGCAACCTCCACCTCCTGAATTCAAGAGATCCTCCTGCCTCAGCCTCCGAGTAACTGGGATTACAGGCACATGCTACCACACCCGGCTGATTTTTTGTATTTTGTATAGAGACAAGATTTTGCCATGTTGCCCAGGCTGCTCTTGAGCTCCTGACCTTAGGTGATCTGTCCGCCTAGGCCTCCCAAGGTGCTGGGATTACAGGTGTGAGCCACTGCACTCAGCCCCGTTAATTTTAATTTCATTTATTTAATGAAAATTAAAATTAAAGTAGCACTGTTTTAGTGAACAACCAATTGTATTACAGAGCAAAAAGCAGTTTAGAAAGTGCCCCCAGTGTTTTGAACCTTGTCATATTGTTATGCGAAAGCCGAAGGGTCTGGAGATACTGGAGTAGTCATCATTCTCATTGACTATTCACATTTGCTTTCATGTGTTTTCCCATCTTTTCTTATCTAAACAATTCTGCAACTTATGCCTATGCAGACAGTTACCACTCTTGTTCAGGTTTCATCAGAATCTTCGTATTTTACTGGAAATGTTTACTTTAGAAATGGAATTTCATCATAACTGTCATGAATCTTGATTTTTATTCTCTCAGCTTTTGTTTATCAAAGGGGAACAAAAGGAAAAGAAAAGAAAAATCCAAAGCTTGGCATTGTTACTCTTAATCCACCTAGATGGCATGATAGCATCTTCTACTAATGTGATTACACTGAGTGTACTTTAACATTCTCTAAAAAATGAATAACAAGAACTGTTCATCCAGGACCTATTTTAGAGGACTGTGAAAAGTTTAATGTTATAATACAAAATGACAGTCACGTCTGTATTTGTCCATACCTGGATGAATAGTTCCTGTAAGAAAAAGAGAACATTTTCAAGACTAATAAAATGCCATTTGAAACGCTGTAGTTTATAATAATATGGTATCTATGCCTAAATGATGCCAAAATAAGTTATCAATAATTTATTTAATTTAAAAAACCAAATTGTTCAACATATAGGCAAAAAATATGTTATCTAAATATTGTTCTTTTTAGTTATTTTTATGATACTATATAGCTCCAGCATAAATTTATGATGAACTGTCTGCACTTTTTAAACTTTTGGGAGAACCATAGAAATAACAAGTACCAAAATTATTATTTACAGAAGCTCAAAACTCTCAAAAGGAGAAAAAGATGAGAATTCCGAAGCACTTATAAACAGGCTACATGTTGTATATTATTTTAAGGTTGTACGATATATTAAACTCAAGCAAATATAAATTTTTAGAAATATATTTCTGTTGTTATAAAAATCAAGACTGAATGATTAGCAATAGTTGTTAAATAACAGTATGTTCGATGGTTAAGCTACCTTGAGATGAAACTTGCTGAATCACGAAAACAGACAGCAGCAACAACAGGTAAATGGGAAGTGTTTTCCACGCCATGGTTGTTTTCGGGTACCGTAGGTACCCTTCCTGAAAATAAAATAAAGGTATCAGAAAACTGCTCTTTCATCTCACCACTAACTTAGGCTTGCACTATACATGTTTCAGTAATTTTAAAAATGTAACTTAATAATAAAACCATGCTATTCTTGAAACAAGACTTTAAATCACCTTTAATTCTATAGAAAATATTTGACCATTAGACTTAATTTTATGCAGAACAAATCACGTCACCCTCAGCCATATTATTGACAGTTTTGATATTTAAGAAATCTCTAACATAGAATAGACTTATCTTAAAACTCTAGTCAAAGTATAGCATGTACTTACCAGTGCAATGTTAAAATTTTATCTTAAGGAAAATAATAACCCGTGTCATTGAAATGTAATTTAATAAGCATCATGGAGTTACTGTTCCAACTTTTCCTTAACTCTCAATATAAATTCAGAGACTTCCAACAGGTGTATTGCATAAATATAATCCTTTTCAAAAATTTCCAACTACTATCCTTATACATTTTTTTCAAATACCTCTAATGAAAACACATTTAATTCCATGAAGCAAGTTAACTTTGACACTTACCCGTAAAGGATAGATGAGTTTATCCCATGTCCTGGAAGTCTTATATATCAGTGCAAATATAGTGGGATGAACCAATTAGTCCAAAGGTTAGACAAAATCAACAGTGACAACCTATGAAATCAAACTTTCCTCATTTATTGGAAGAGGGCCCAGACGACTAGACTTAGGCAACATCTGGAAAACACTTCCATTAAGCAAAATGACTACTACAAAATAAATTTAGATTTATTGGCCAGAGCACATTTCTAATTTCTAAGTGAAGTGAACAAATTGTCCTGAGATGGTAAATAGCTCTGGCAGGCTTCAACTAATATATTGAAGCAGCAACTGTAAAACATTCACATACTGGTATCACTTCTTTCTTTCTTCCGTTTTCCAGTTAAATCTAGCAAAGTTGGCTTTGACATTTACCTAGTGTTAGCTTGTGGTATACATTTTATATACTTATACCATTATATCAAATGTGCATTTCTTGAGTAGTTTCATTTTCTCTGAGCACAGAAAACATGCTCTCAGTTACCTGCAGGTGGATTATTGACACTGGATTTTCTAGCTTCCTTTATCATCTTAAAAACCTGCTTTAAAACCATATTGATATTTTCCTTAGATCCCTCCTTTAAGATAAGCATGCTTGGAAAAGGTCTTTTAAATTACTAATTTTGCTTCCTTTCCACGATGAAAATGTGAACCATCACCATTGCACAGCTAAGTCAGCTCAGCCCAAGGCTTTCCCCCATTTTCATATGGAATGTATCGGTGTAAAATCTTACCCACCAACATAGGGCCTCTCTCATGTCCTAGCACCTCCCTGAAACCTTTCCAGATCAAATTCAAATCACATCTAGAATTATAGTCAACAACTGTACTACATTTTACTGAAAGCATCTGTTCATCTGTCTCATACCCCCAACAGACTATGATTTCCCCAAGGACAACCAACACATATATCTTAGTCTATTGCCAACAAACAGCCCAGTTGTTTCACCAAGTTTATATGTTTAAAACATGGTCAGGCCGGGTGCAGTGGCTCACTCCTGCAATCCCAGCACTTTGGGAGGTGGAGGTGGGTGGATCACCTGAGGTCAGGAGTTTGAGACCAGCCTGGCCAACAAGGTGAAACGCCCTCTTTACTAAAAATACAAAAAATTAGCTGGGTGTGGTGGTGGGCACCTGTAATCCCAGCTACTCGGGAGGCTGAGGCAGGAGCATCACTTGAACCTAGGAGGTGGAGGTTGCAGTGAGCTGAGATCACGCCATTGCACTCCAGTTTGGGCGACAAGAGCAAAACTCAGTCTCAAAAAAAAAAAAAAAAAAAAAAAAAAAAAAAAAAAGAGAAAAAAAAAGAAAAGGAAAGAAAACATGTTCAGTGAACCACATGGTTGAAGGCTGGATCCTGCTGTCTAGTATTCATTTAGTAGGTGCTGCAGTTAATTTTCACAAAATGCCTTAAAGTTAAATATAATCATCCACATTTACAAATAAGAAGATGAAGACCCACAAATGAAGAATGTGTGACCCATCCAAGGATCTATAAAGACTAGAGGCCAGAACAAAGATTTGAACCCATGTCTTTGCATTTTAAGTTCCCTCATGTTTGCACTATATCCAGCTCCCTTTTGATCAAAACCATCACTTAGTTTGTAATCATTATACTACATTTTACTCCTTTACTCCACATGTATACATAGGTTTGTGAGATTGTGACTTTTTTAAGACTAGGAATTATAAGCATCTATTTTCTTTCCACAGTGCTTATTTCACAGGACTAAACATATAAAGACAACTTAGAGGACACCTGCTCATCTCTAAATAATCCCCCTTTTCTGGAAACTACTTCCCTTTCTATCAGGGTATTTTCCTTTTAGCTCTGGTTATATGTTACCTTCCCACATCAGCCACAGCCAATAGGATTAGGAGTCGGAACTTGAACAACCTGAGCCAATATGATTTCTTCTCCTGGAAAACTGAAATTATAGTTCAGAGATTACAAATTTGTCGGTCTATGTAGACCAATAATGTGTACATTTCTGCCCATGGTCTAAAGGATTAGAGAAAGTCGTTCCATATAAATGAAGCAACCACGCGGAGAGAAATTTCTGATAACTTTCTAAGTCTCAGTTACTCTGTTTTTTAGACCCAACTTCTTGCTCTGCATCTTTATGGCAAGTTTCCCTTTTGGAGCTGAAGCTGGTTATAGATGCCTTTTGCTACTTGAAATCAATATACAATAGATACACAAAAGATCATATATGGAGTTGAACATTAAACAGAATTCTGTGAATTCTTAGCTCTACTGAGGCCAAGAGTGGGTCAGCTACAAGCTTTTCCAAGTAAGACCTCTACAGTGTTACTTTATTATTTATTTGGAATATTGGGAATGCCCAAATCAGATACAAATATACACATAGATACATATTTTTAAATAAGATATAAATTGTTTTCTAATCATTGCCTTTTGAACTGTATGCACTATCATTTTCCTTCTTTGAATTGATCTTATAATAGTGATGGCAAATAAAATTCTTGAATTGATTAATATCACTTTTTTTTTTTTTTTTTTTGAGATGGAGTTTCATTCTTGTCACCCAGGCTGGAATGCAGTGGTACGATCTGGGCTCATTGCAACCTCTGCCTCCCGGGTTCAAGCAATTCTGCTGCCTCAGCCTCCCGAGTAGCTGGGATTACAGGTGTGAGCCACCGCGCCCGGCCTATTAATATATATTTATAAACTGTACTAAATACTCCATTCTGTGAATATTGATCCATTTAACCTTCCTTGTTGATCACACTGCAATCATCCCATTCGTTTATAGGTTCCTCTTTTAAGATTTCCCTTCTCTTAAAGGTATTTTCTTAATGTTCATTTAAATCTCATTTAATTGGATAAAAGCTATTCCAGAATTGGTTTTTGATGCGTGGGAAATGGGGAAAGTAAAGAGACATGGAAAAGACATACACAATGTTAAATCCTAGAGACCTCTTCTAGGGATGATTTTCACAGGGTTCAACCTCATAAGCATCAGTTTTATGCTTGGCAGCAGCACAGTGATACCTTAGAGAACACTAAAGCAAGTTCAGGGGTATTTTTCCTGTGCTAGATTACCCTGGACTGTGGTGCCTTTATACTTCGTCTCCATGCCTGCCCATTAGCTGTCACTTCGCCCTGTAGCCAGAGTGTCTACACCTAGTGGCATCCCTCCACCTTTCCACATCTTTGATGTGTTTCATTTCCTTCCAGCAGCAGCCTAGGAAAAACTGAAGCATGCCAGGGGAAAACCACAGATGTGAGCTTGTTCTTTATTGCCCTAATGTTGCTCACAATGCTAAGTTAGTGTGCTCTAGATACGAAATAACTCCCCTCCTCTCACATGAACCAGAGTGTAGGACTTTGGGACTATTCCTGCCCATTCTGTTCAGGCATTTTCACATATTAGAAAGTGATGTGGCTTTTTTTTCTTTTTTGCAGGTTTGCTCAAAAGTATCACTATTAGATCAGTGAAAGTATTATTAGATTCGCTTTTGAGATTGTGGCAGTCTGATCATTGATCCCAATCTTTTCTAACTTTTTCTAGTTGCCCAGCTAGAGATTACATTTCCCACCTTCTCCTTCAGGTAGTTGTGACCGTACAACTGTGGTCTCTCTGGTAAAATAGGGACAGAAGTAATATGGGCAACTTGCACTTATTTTTCTAACAGGAAACTGCTTGATCTGGACTTTCTCTTTTTCCTGCTTCTTGCAGAATGGAAAGGAGGCATCAGAGACAAGCTTTGATTATGCAGACAAGGCTAGCAGCCTAGGGAATAGTATTCTTGGTGGAATCCAGATGCTGTCTCACTCTCTGCACTAGTCAGAAAGTTTCAGGAAAAGAAATACATTTCTATTTTATTTGAACAACACTCACTTCAGGTCTTTTTAGACACTATCCTAACACAGAGATCATAGGAAATTTCTAAATATTTATAGGAATTATATTCCAAAATTTGATTTGAATTCTCTATGACAATAAAAAAGAATGAGCTAAATGACCTATCAGTAATAAACTATTGGCATTGGAGAGGCAGAGGTAAACTATCCTTATTTGCAGATGACATAATTGTGTATGTAGCTTTAAAATCCTAAAGAATCTAAAAGCTGTAAAAACTACTGAGTGAATTCAGCAAGATTGATATAAGATCAACGATCTTATATCCAGATTCATACTGAGGCCATTTTAATGCATAAACTTAAATGTGCACGAATAAAGAATTTTCTCTACTGAATTTTCTAAGAATAAAAGTTCATCCAATTTGTTCATTCTATTGAGGGGAAATGATCAAATAGTGGTCACTACACACCAAACCTAGTATCAATTTCTAGAGATACATATGTGTGCAAAAGAGAATCCCTGGTCCCTAGCATTTCTTGGACTATTCAGGTAGCCAGAAACAAACAAATAGTTCAAATATC